GGCCTACACCCCTGTTCTGGTATGCATAAGTTAATAAAATAAATCTTAAAAAAAACATATATATTCTCTCATAGTATCAGGGTTTCTTATCTTTGGAACATTTAATGCAATCAGAAAATTTTAAATATGTTTTGTTGGTGGGTCTCTCCCCACTGGAATATAAACTCTTTGAAAGTAGGGCTCTTGTTTCTTACACACTTCATTATCTCCAAAGATCCTGGAACAATGTCTGGTAAAAAGCAGGTACTCAATAAATACTTTAATGATTGAATGAATGCAAAGATAGTCTCTGCATGAATACATGATAATCCACCAGCTCTTCCATGTTCACCCTTTCAATCGATGGAACTTGAATACCCAAGTTTCACCAAAATTCCAGTGTATTCTGGATGTGAAGAAGGAATTTGAAGATGCATATCACAGTTAGAAAAACCTCCACTTTGTTATAATATTGCCCAATAATACCTTCACTTATGGTCATAAAATCTAACTTTTGTAAGTCCAGAAAGTCTCAGCAGCTAACTTTTCAGGGCCTTTACCACACTGGGAAGTGATGGTTTCCAGAATAAATTCCATCTTCCTTGTATCTGTTTCTACATTCTGACCACCCATGCTACAAACCATTTTTGTGATTCAACTATATTAGGTTCAGGAAGAAATGTTTATACTGTGACAAAGTTGGAAAGTTATTTTTCTTTCTTTGTGGAAGCATCTAATTTGCACTCCCTCCAACAAAGGTAAGGGTTAAATCCCTCAAGAATACTCTCTTAATATGCACATAGAACAGAGGATATAACCCACAGCAAACTGACTCATTGTATACTCAAGTGCTGTCTGGTGGATCACAAAATGCCAGACATTAGATGTTTTACTTTTATTGTTAGTGATAGCTTAGAATAATTTATAAAATAAATATTCTACTCTAAAATTGAGTTATCCCAAATTAGTATTACTAGCCATATTCATTTATAGAGAGATATAAAAACTTAGGGAAAGAAAGGAACAGATGTAGGAAAGATTCTCCCCAATTAATGGAGGTTTTCTGGGAAGGAATCCAGATGTTGAGTAGAATATACTGGACAGGAATCAGGAAAGGACAGGTAATGGTTTCCAGCTAGTTAATATTGGATCTCAGCCTCACAAAAGACCAATGCTTAGCTTCTCAGTAGTTTTCATTTATTTATAAAAATAAAGTTGTGAATTGAACTTTAAATCATGGAACACCAATCCACCAGAATGGCTTTACTTAACTTCATACACATTGCTCAATTGCAAAGATATTTTTATTTTTCTTTGTCCTAGCTTTCTAAGATAACTTTCTAGTGTAGAGTGTTAACTTCATCCCTATTAAAAATAAAAGCTGTTTTTTTGAGTGAAAAAATTTACAGTTTATTTATGAACATTTAGGATTAAACTGGGTTCACATATAACATAAGTAGTATAAAGTAAAATAATGGAAAAGCTATGCCACATACCATTTAAAAAAAAATAGTAGGGCCTACCTGTGGCACAGGGGTTAAAGACAGTGCTATCAAGCTATCACCAGCCACTGCAGCATGAGTTGGACCCCAGCCAGCCAGGGAGCTACCCACATGGTGCAGCAGACTTCTGCCTTGCCTACTGCTTCCCTCAGCAGTATATTTCAGTAGATCTGCCTATTCTGCTCCCCACTCTATCTGGTGAATCCTCTCACCCCCTGCACCTCTGGCCTACACATCAGTTCTTGTATGCATAAATAAATAAATCTTTAAAAAAAAAGTAGGGGTAACTACATAAAATAAAAGCTCTTGCTCTGATATTATCAACCACTGACTGTATAGGGATGATGGCAAGAAAGGGTCCATAAGAATTTCGTGTGTTTGTGTCAAATGTTTGAGAGAGAGTGGGGCAAACTGGGACAACTAAGTTGTGAATGTCACACTTTCCTCTTCTTTGACTATCACCCTTCCTAGCTATTTTCCTTCTGTGAAGGTTCCAAATGAAAATTTAATTTGTAACTTAGAGAATTTAAAAAAAAAAATTAGGATGCATATCACTTTTTAGGACTAATGTATATCTTTAGAGATGCAAGAAGAAAAAAAACCAATATTTTATCCAGTGTTTTAAGGAACAGGGATGGGATGAGGCATAGTCAAGATCTTTATATAAAAAGGAAGTTGTTTATTTTTTTCTAATTTAAAATCTCCAACTCTTCACCCTGACAGGTAAAGTTGCATATCAGACACAGATCTCACCTTTTAAGTATTTTCATAATGATATCCTTATTATTTTTTTAGTGTTTTCATGGATTGTCCTTAAACATATAGGGCTAGAATTTCTCTTTTAAGAGGCTTTTACAGTAAGTGCAATTCAGTAAATCATTTTGAAATAGATTTTTGACTTGGCACAAAACAGTCAACAAACATTAACTTAAAAAGCAAATGCAACTAATAACTTTATATCTCCTTTGCTGCCTAGAATGCATGTTAAGATTAACTATACTATTTTGGCATTTAGTACTTTCAAGAAGCTCAACTCTTAAAGAGATTAGCATTGCATGACAGAATTATCTAAGCACGTGGAGCCATCCTTCTATGATTTTACTTCCAAAACTCTTCCATTTGATCAAACAGATTATAAATATCAATCAAGAATCACGTCATTATCCAATGATACTAGTCAAACCAAGGAATAGAAAAAAAACCCACCTTTGCTTTTGCAGACAGTAAGACCTTCTCACATTCTCTGTCATCAACTCAAATTATCTTTGTCCCATATTACCATGCCCCATAAAAAGAAGCCCTTTTTAGCTTTGGAATGTGGTTAGTCATATCTGTTATAAATTCCCCCAGGAGACTGTTAACTTTTCCTTTCTAGTACTTCTTTGTGCATTACATATTTTGACACTTGCTGTTATCAAGACACATTAAAACACTGTAATTTGTGGTAAGAAGGCTAATATTTATTTTCCTGCAGATTTACAGTCAGGGGAAAATACCAAAGAGACTTCACCTCCTCCAAACCATCTGTGGCAATAGTTCCAGTCCATCCAATGCTGTAGCATGAGTGGATGTAGTATAGAAAATGTTTTATTGCTGTCATTTATAGTGACATTTTGTGTATGTGGCAGGAAACATCATCTGCATATTTCACATGGGAATGGAATTTGTTTTTTAAAAAAGAATGTGAATGACTTCTCATGCATTTCTTTTTTGTTTCCTTTCCTATTTTCATGTATTTTAATTTTTAGGTACCCCATTTTTTTCAATAAAGGTAGTATTATATAGAGGTTAAGAATCTTATAATCTGGAATCAGAAATATTGAGTTACAAATTTTCTCTCTATCAAATGTTAACTGGTCTTAAGTTTCTTCTCAGTAGGGAGGGATGTAGGCTGACAGGAAAGGGGTGAAGAATAAATGAAGATGTATGTAAAGCATTCTGTTTAAACTAGTGAGCTAAATACTGGCTTTGATCATTGATGGCAGCCTTACTACGTTTTAAATGACATCAGATTAAAACAATAATGTGAGTGCAACCTCTCAGGATACTCAGTTCCTTTATTCTTGATAGTAAGACCAATTAACCCCATCTTCTGCTGCCTGTTTCACCTGTCCTGGTCAGGGGTGTGAGGAGAAGCAGAACATGTGATAATAATAGGAAGGGACAAAACAGAGGCATTTTAGTTCATGGTAGAAGATAGAAGGACATGGGTGAGCTTTTCATGATTCCACGGGTCCTTGACCTTCTTAGTACTTAGACTGCAATACGTGATAATGATCTTTCCAGAGTTCTGACATTAGTCTTTTACCAGAAATACCATAGTGATGTCTCTTTGAAACTCAGGCATGTGACTTCCGTTTCTTCAATCTCCTGCTTCCTGAAACACCCTTGTAGTTTCTCCCATTTCTTAGGGATGGATCCTCTGATACACACCTTCTCCATTGAGCAGGGATTTGCCTTAATGCAAACATCATGTCAGTTCCTAAATTTCCTTCAGCCTCCCCCTTTCAGATATCCCTTCCTGGAGGGGGAAGGTGCTGTGGCAGAAAGGCCCAGACCTGGCTGCTTTTGAAAAGTAAGAAAGCGCTCAGGGCCCTAATGAGGCATGGTGGGGGCATGGGCCAGATTACAGTTGGAAAATATTGGTAATAGTCTCAATTCTGTCAGTTAGCTGCCGAGACAGGCCTATTAGCATCATTTTCCTGTATGAGAAAGTCTTGAAAGCTCTTTAAGTTCTGTTTTTATTACCTGTTAAGTGAGTCTATCACTTATCCATATTCTCTCTCTTTATTTTTAAAGATTTATTTATTTATTTATACAAGAACTGGAGTACAGGCCAGAGGTGAGGGAGGGTGAGAGGATTCACCAGAGACAGAGCAGGGAACAGAACAGACAGAGCGACTGAAATACACTGCTGAGGGGAGCAGTGGGCAAGACAGGAGAGGTCTGCTGTGCCATGTTGTACCCTTGCCGGCTGGCCAGGATGGAATCGGTGCTGCAGAGGCTGCGGACAGCTTCACAGCGTGGTGTTCAACCGCCTGTGCTACCTGGGGAGGCCCTATCCATATTCTCTTGAAGGATCACTGTGAAATACTGACAAAGGGGAAGACTTAAACAAGTTGCATGTCTATTACATGCCAGGTACTAAGTCTACAAAGGGGTCCCAAATAATAAACAACCATGGAGCCTCCCTGGTGGCTCAGGGGGTTAAGTCTCAGCACTATGAAGCTATCAGCAGCCACTGCAGTACAAGTTCACTCTCTGGCCAGGAAGCTAACCTACATGGTGCTGCAGACCTCTCCTGTCTCTCCCGCTGCTCCCCACTCTGTCTCTGGTGAATCCTCTCACCCTCCCGTGCCTCTGGCCTACACCCCAGCTCTTGTATGCATAAAAAAATAAAATAAATCTTAAAAAATAATAAATAACTGTGAATATTAGCTATCACTTTTATTACTCTGGACTTTTTTTTAAGGAATCAGTAAGGTGTGGAAAAGTCACATCTGTATGTCGGAATAGGATTTGAGTCTTAAATGCAAACAAGCTGTGTGGCTGAGCATAGGAGGGAACACTCACCTGCGTTCCATGACCCATACCCTCTGGCTGGAGCAGGCTCTCAGGAGTGCTGGCTGGATGCAAGGTAACTGGGTAATTTTGTATTCTGGCATCTCCCTCTGCTGACATAGCAAGTTTCTGGTTCCAAGGAGCTCTGATAGAAAAATCCAGGCAAAGAAAAAAAAAACAACAACCACTTTTCATAATGGGTTTCAGGCCCATTACTGGTAATAATTTAAAAATGTTTGCATTCATGGATAAGGGGAGATGCTTCTGCTTTTCATTAAATGTCACTGAACAGGTGCCGAGTTCCATGGTCTTTAATGCCTTCCAGCATCTGCTAAGTCATATTTAAAAGTAAAATATTTGAATTCCTCCCAAATATCAAAAGTCACATTAGTGAGAGAGTTCACAGAAGTGTACATTTTATCACCTGTATTTTGCATCATTTGGTTTGGATGTCGATGGCAAAATTCCCCTTTGCTGGTGGAATATTGAGTAGTAATAAATGTCTGGCGAACAGACAGATTCTTTACTTCATATATGGTTGTAGAGAGATCTGGAAACACCAGGACTTCTGTTTTTTGCTATACTAAGATGCATGGAAAGGATGGCTGCTCTGCTGAGGAACGGTTGAGCAGACGAATTTGGGCCTGGGAGATGGGGCATAATTACAAGACAAATGACTTGCATCTCCGGGAGACTCACAGAGGGTGAAACTAAATATTTCAAGCTGTTATTTGGTCTGTTTGCTCATGTTTATATGAGGCTAACAACTTCCATGAAGGCCTTTTTAGGCGGCTGTTCCCAGGTGTCTTCTGTTTAACTGTTGGGCTCATTAGAATTACTTTGTGAGGAATATTTAGAATAGAGAGAAGGGGGTGGTTAGGGATGACTTGGTCTCCTCACACCCGCGAGTAAATTCTTTGACTCTGATGCGCTTCTTTGCACTGTGGAGTGAAAGATCATCAAAAGCAAAATTAAAATCTTGTGATTTCTATGAATTCTTTCAGACTCAGACAATACTTTATAGGAATGAAGAACGTAGTTACTAAAGTATCTCCTTTGTTTGTATTTTTTAAAAAGATATATTTATTTATGCATACAAGATCTGAGGTGTAGGCCAGAAGTGCAGGGGGAGGGGGTGTGGGGGCGCACGGAGGAGGGGGGGTAAGGGTGGAGTCGGGTGGCTTGGGTGGGAGGTGGGGGAGAGGTGTGAGAGGATTCACCAGAGACACAGTAGGGAGCAGAACAGGCCGATTGACCGAAGTTCACTGATGAGGGGAGCAGCGGACAAGACAGGAGAGGTCTGCTGGGTTATGTGGGTTAGTTCCCTGGCCTGGGGATCGAACTGGTGCTGCAGTGGCTGCTGATAGCTTCACAGTGCTGAGACTTAACCCCTTGCACCACCAGGAAGGCCCTCCTTTGGTTTTGAAGCCTTAAAGTCTTCTTATTTATTTGTTTACGGAATTTTAATGAGACTACTAAATATTATATATTAGTTATGGACGATATTTGAGGTGATGATGTTTGTGGACATCTATGAGAATATCTCAATTCTTAGGAGATAGATGCTAAGGCATATAGGTGTGGCCTAGTATAATCCATATTTTGCAATGTTTCTCAAAAACAAGGAGATAGATAAAAGAAATAGGGCAAAATATTAAAAAAAATAAAATTTTTTAATTAGTTTTTTGGGCAATGTATGTTTCCTATACCACCCTTTTAACTTTTGTGTGTTTGTAATTTAAAAAAAAAAGTCAAAAAACAACCCCTTCTGTTCATAACCACAAAATTTTAATTAAAGACTCAACCAACAAGCTTGGAAAGGATTTGTAAATATATGTCATGCATGGATTTATTATCCTTAAAATATAAATCACTTATGAATCAATGAGAAGATTGAACATTTCAAAAAAATAGACAATTGTCAAGTAACAAAAAAAAAATAGAAATGGACAATGACTATACAGAAAAGGGTCTCCCCGCTTGGTGCAAGGGGTTAAGTCTCAGCACTATCAAGCTATCTGCAGCCACTGCAGCACCAGTTTGATCCCCACCAGGGAGCTACCCACATGGCGCAGCAAACCTCTCCTGTCTCGCCCGCTGCTCCCCTCAGCACTGTATTTCAGTAGATCTGGCTATTCTGCTCCCCACTCTGTCTCTGGTGAATCCTCTCACCACCCCACACCTTTGGCCTACACCCCAGCTCTTCTATGCAAAAATAAATTCCTTTTAAGCTTTTAAAAAATTATACAGAAAATTGTGTATTTATATGATTAAATATTTGGTGGTGACAGGATTTGTCTTTCCCAATGTCCTGATGGCTTTGGTCTGGAGTGGGGGTGGAGTCCACACAGCCTGTATGGGATTAGCTCAGAACATCCTTTCCCCCTAACACTACAATAAAAATAGAATTTAAGGCAGATAAAAGGAATTATAATAATAATCTGGTTACTCTTAGGTGTTATTCAAGTATCTTCTCTCTCTTGGCACACCTAAGTCTGACAAAAGTCCCATTTACAGAAAGGAAAACTGAACCCACAGAGGTTAAAGAACTTGGACAAAACTACCACAGGCAAACATTAGTAGGACTGGAGCTAGGATTCACTAAAACTCTCCCTTTCTAAAACCTGCTTTCTTTATGACATGTTGTGTGGTGTATGATATTGAAAAGGACAGTCACTCACAGCTGGTGTATTAACAGTGCTAAAAAAGTTCATTAGACTATATTTAGAGGTATAATTGGCTTTAATGGCGGATTCATAAATCTGTGCAGATGAGCCCCATCTAGCAAGCAGACAGGCTCTGCATGGACTTGCACAAAGTAAAAGCTGTTTATAGTCAGAAAGGGTTAGGACAAGGTCATCAGCAAAAGAAAGAAAGATTCTTCAGGGCAAAGACACTTTCCCCCAGGAGAAGGCAGGGGCTTACTATGCAGATGATCTCACTAGAGTTGATTGGTTTAATACTTTTAAGGAGAGATTGAATGTGCTAAATCTGGGTGGGTTCCTTTTGGGATTGTCTTTTCCTATTTTTATTTATTTATTTTAAAGATTTATTATTTTATGCATACAAGATCTGGGGTGCAGGCCAGAGATGCGGAGGGTGAGAGGATTCACCAGAGACAGAGTGGGGAGCAGAACAGGCAGTTGTACTGAAATACATTGCTGAGGGGAGCAGCAGGCAAAACAGGAGAGGTCTGCTGTGCCATGTGGGTCACTTCCCTGGCTGGGCTCAAACTCATGCCACAGTGGCTGGTGATAGCTTGATAATGCTGAGATTTAACCCCTGTGCCATCAGGGAGACCCTGATGTTTAATTTTAAACATACAGAAAAATTAAAAGTCTAATAAAATTAAATCCTATATAGTAATCCCTTGATTGTCCAATAAACATGTCTAGCATGTTTTATTTGTCTCTCTCTACACCTCTCATTTTTGTTTTTATCTGGGGTGTCCAGAGGTGGGGCGGGCGTGGGACAGGTGAGAGGATTCACCAGAGACAGAGTGGGGAGCAGGACAGGCAGATCCAGTGAAATACACTGCTGAGGGAGGCAGCAGGCAAGACAGGAGAGGTCTGCTGCACCACATGGGTCATCTCCCTGGCTGGGGATTGAACTCGCTTCATAGTGCTGTGTCTTAACCCCTTGCACCACCAGGGAGGCCTCCTTTTCCTATTTTTAATAATCTCTTTTGATCTGAGTAAGAAAATCACCATTTCTGTTTTTGTTAATCCTCTGCGTGTTGTTCTCAGGTCGTTTGGATTACAATTTTACTTTCACATTCTTTGTTAGATCAGTCCTTGTTCCTGCTCTGAGGTCCCAGCCTGAAAGAGATGGCTGCTTGATGGTTAGCAGCTGCAATGTGAATTTAAGGCCTTTGAGAGACTATAACATACCAGGGAGATTATTGTGTAAGCATAAGTAGAATAATTCCCAAAGTTTGGTGCATAATTCGGCAAGTTCCCCAGTTCCCCAAGTTCCAAACCAATCAAAGAAAGACCCAGCTAAAGGAGTCACTCTAAAGCCAGCTAGCTTATGCAGTGATTTTATGTAAATGAGTTTTAACTTCTCCAGGAGTGTTGACTCAGGTGCAGCATTTGGTGTAGTTTCCAACAAAGACAACTCATTGCTTAGCTAAAAGATGATCAAGGTCTATAAAGAGCATTGGTCAGTGAGCCCAAGGATTTTTGTTGGGAATCTATTGCTTTAGCAGCAGATTCTGCAACATCTTCAACAGTGAGGGAGAGGTTACAGCTACGTGGCCTGTAAAATCTAAGGGTTGTTCGCTTACACAGGTGGTTTATTCTGTTTACCCTTGCCGTGTGTCCCTTTCACTGTATAGAACTGGGATGCATGTTTCCCTGGGTTGGGGATTATTAACCAGAGACAGGGACGTGGCCCCCCACACAAAGTACACAGGAATGGGGTTTGTTCCACAGAAACTGGAACACTGGCAATCAGGGAGGAGTATGTGATTGGCAGAGCGGCAAAATCAGCTTAGTGGCAAACCCAAGTCTGAGAATTTATTTATCTCTTTAGCAATAGCTTGGGGGGATACTAAAGAAAAAGAAAAGGAAGGGAGTTGAAGAATGAAGTGTTGACCTAGTGTCTTGGGCAGAAGCAGTCTTCGTTGATGTCAGCTACTTCTCATTTACTACCATCTTCAACATATGTACAGGGCCAGATGTTGGGTGGAGCCCTCTTTAGCTGTGAGATATATACCTACAGTTTGAGTTTCTGAAGCTTGGCTGCTCTCTGGGTAGTGAGGAGGACGTGGTATAACTCCTTCCAAGAAGATTCAATGTGAGCTTTTATTTTCAGTGATTCCTAAACTGGAAACATTAGTTTGGAGAGTCATAGCCACATAATTGAGGAAATTAGAGTGAGGATCAAGTTCAGTTTATAGTCACATAACTAACCCCAAAGACACACAACTGGGTTCTAACAGCTACAAAGGTAAAAATATAATTTTTCTCTCTACAATTATCCTGATTTCTATTTAAGAAAATCATGGTACAATTAACTTGTTGGTAAAAGAAGTCTAGTTTCAATAAACTTGTCTTGTTATTTGTGTAACTATTGCAGGACTAGCTATATAGACTCTTAAACCTGCTTGCTCTTGGTCACTAGATTTTACCTGTAATATTATACAGAAAGCTCGGAGATTTATTGCCATTTATAGTAAAATTACTAAATTCTCAAAATTTTGCATGGGTTAAGTAGCGAGAAAAAGTAAATATTTCATCTTTGTTTATAAAGGTATACTTTATCAATGGCTGTAAGTCATAGCTAGCATATGAGAAAAATGTCTTCCTAAACCCAGTTCAGTTTAATGATCTTAAAAGTCACCAGAGATCTGTATTCCAGAGTCCTTGCAAAAGTCTTTCCAGAACCTGCTCGAAGATAAAGCATTTTCAGGGGAACACTTGCTAAAACAATAATCACAAATGACAAAAAACTTAAGAATGGCCAAGTTTAAATATCTGATGAGAGTTCATTAAATGCAATAGAAAACTTTGAACATCATAATTAGAATTCCTTGTAGTAACATTGTACCAAGACATGTCAGACTTGTAGGGTTTTCATGTAATTTCTAGAACAGATATAGCCGTATCTACACAAATAGAACATAAGGAGACTTAGTGTTAATACTTGACAATGCTCTCTACATAATTTAGTAGGCCAAATAATTTTAATATCCCTCTTTTCATAAAGAGAGTGACTACATCTTTTGAGATGTTCCTGGTAATTCTGTTATCAAGAGTGTAAAGTCAAATACTTCATTTCGAATTTGATTTGAGGAAGTTGGTAAAAAATACCAAAAGGTTTTGGACATCAGCAGAAAGATACCACAGATCATTATGAATCAATACTTACCCATTTAATGGAAGTAGCAATGAAAGATTTCAGAAGCAAATATAAAAGTTTACATAGTTGCAAACAAAACTTAGCTCTTTAAAAAATGACACGAAATACATTATATTATTTTGATAACACACAAATCCTTGCTTTCTGGGTAGGCTACTTATAAGGTAAGGGAAAGCCTTTCACAATATCTTATCAAGAGCAAGTGATCTTGTTGATTTAGCAAATGAAAGAAGATGAGTTTTAGTTTTATGCAAATACACTATTAAAATTAAAGGTTATTAATTTAAAATCTCTCATTTGTTAAATCTTACCCAGTTTGATTACGCATAGTTTTCTTTTCTGAGAGTCCTTTTCCCCCAAGTCTTCTATAACTTTCCTTTTTTATTCTCTTGTTGAAAACACACATTTTACTTATTTGCATACAGGGATGCTTCACTTATTATGCTATTTCTAGTAGCTCCAATGACATACATAAAGTATTTCCTGAATCTTATATGTTAATATCTAATGGAAAACTAAAAGGTAATGTGAACTGTTGTTAGGTCAACATTCTTTAGATTGGCAGGCCTACACAATTTCGTAATTTCTAGAACATGTGCCTCCGAATAATAGTTTTTCAGGTAGCCCAAGACATTTCTGAACAGACCCAAACTTCTTTAGTTTCTTCAAAAGTAAACCCAAGCTTGGTATTTAGTGTTTTAATAAAATGATCTAGAGAATCAGTGAATTTCCATCATTTAACTTATCAAAAACCTTAAAGGAATAAATTACTGAAAATTTTTTTGAAACTATTTTTATGTACATAAAACCAATGATCACTGATGAGTTTACCTAAACTTTTTTTATCCTATTAACATCTATTTAAATCTTAAGCTACTTTTCTTGCTGATAGTTTTGGAAATAGATAACAGGAATTCATTTGATTAATAAATTCAGTAAAATAAAGGTTTTTTTCCCTAATAGATCCTAATGTTTTTAGTTAGAAAAAGGGTAAGAGAAGGTTATTAGCAAAAGAAAAGAAAGATCATTTAAGGCAAAGCCACCTTCCCTTTAGGGAAGAGGGAGTTTACCAGGGCGATTGATTGGTTTAAGATTACACTTTGAGGCAGTTGAAACCACTTTTAGGCATACCAGGTCTTTCTAAATTGAAGAACAATTGACATACAACAGTACATTACTTACAGGTATACAAAATAATGATTTGATATTTGTATACATTACAAAATGACCACCACAGTAATTCTACTTATCATCTATTATATACATGGACAATTAGAACTTTAAAGATTAACTGTCTTAGCAACTTTAAATATACACTATACTACTGTTAATAAGTCACTGTACTGTACATTACTTCCCATGACTTGAGATTTTATAACTGGAAGTTTGTACCTTTTGACACCCTTGACTTATTTAGCCCACCCACTGGCCCTGCCCCTGGCAATCAGCAATCCGTTCTCTGTATCTGTGATCTTATTTCTTGTTTTTCTTAAGATTCTGCCATAAGTGAGATCATAAGATGTTTGTCTTTCTCTGGTAGTTCAGAGCATTATATCCCCAGGGTTCCAACCACAGTGTCAAAAATGGCGTGATTTTATTTTATTATGACTGAATAATGTCCCATTTTGATATACCGTGTCTTTTTTTGTTCATCCATCAATGGACACATAAGGTTGTTTCCAAGTCTTGGTTATTGTAAATAATGCTGCCATGCACAGAAGAAAATATGTTTATAAAACATGGCAAATGGGGAAAGGAACATTCTGTAGCTTATAATCCCATGTTGTTAAGAAAGCATATATATGGCACATGGTTATATATAATATATATTATACACACACACACAACACAATATGTATATATTTGGAATTATATATACCAAGACTTTAATGTTAATTTTTAGATAGTATGAGCACAGACTTTTTTTTTAAGGTTTAATTTATTTATGCATACAGGAGCTGGGGTGTAGGCCAGAAGTGTGGGGTTTGAAAGGATTCACCAGAGACAGAGTGGGGAGCAAAACAGGCAGGTCTACTGAAATACACTGCTGAGGGGAGCAGCAGGCGAGACAGGAGAGGTCTGCGGTGCCATGTGGGTTAGCTCCCTGGCCAGGGATCCAACTCCTGCTGCAGTGGCTGCAGATAGCTTCATAGTAACTTGACTTAACCCCTTGTGCCACCAGGGAGGCCCCTCAGCACAGACGTTTTTAGATGGCAAGATCTTTAGATGATATGAGTACAGATTTTTCTCCTTTTTTTATAGGTTCTTTGAAATTTTCTCTACCAAATGATAGCATTGATTGTACAATAAAAATGATTTAAAGTCGCCACCTGGAGGGGGCGGGGATGCGCAGGCACTTAGGGCGCGGCCAGAGCATAAATGAAGGCGGATCGGATAAGGCAAACAGTTGATCCCTGAGAGTCACTGGAGTACTGCAAGGCAGGCCCCGGGATACCGCGGATCTTGAGAGCACCGAACCTCCGAACCTCCGGGTGAAGCACCCAGCCCAGCAGATCCCCCCGTCCGCTTTCCTGCCTGCGCGTCCGCCCCGCGTGCCCACCATGAACTCGGAGAGAGCGAGCTGTGAGCCCCGCGCCAGCCAGTTGCTCTTCGCTGCATTCCACCAGGAAGAAGGGGACTTGAAAGATGCATCTGGGACAGCTGATGTCGGCCATCTCTCTAAGGGCGGGACCCTACTTGTTGGTAATAAGTCTGGTTATAAAATTTTTGGCCTTTCTAATGTGGATAAGTTGGAGCAACTCTATGAATACAATGCTATTGAAGATGTGAGCATCGTGGAAACTTCCTTCTCTAGGAACATAGTGGCCATCGTCAGCCTCAGGGCTCCTGGGAAGGTGAGAGTTTTCTGCCTTAAAAAGGCCACGGAGATCTGTAACTACTTCTATTGCAATAGAATCCTGGCTGTGAAGATGAACCGGCACAGGTTAGTAGTGTGCCTGCAAGAGACTGTCTACATTTACAACATTCGGAACCAGGAGATACTGCATGTTATCAGGGAGACCCCCCCAAACCCTGCAGGCCTGTGTGTACTGTCAGAAAACGATTACTTGGCGTTCCCAGGCAGTACCACCGGGGAGGTGCACATCTTCGACGCTTATAACTTGAGAGGTGCCAGCAGGATCCTGGCTCATCAGAGCAGTTTAGCAGCACTGGCCTTCGACGCTCGTGGAACCATGCTCGCTACTGCTTCTGAGAAGGGGACTATCATTAGGGTATTTTCCATCCCAGAGGGACAAAATCTCTTTCAGTTCCGGAGAGGAATTAAGCGGTGTGTTGACATCTACTCGATGGCCTTCAGCAGCGACGGCATGTTCCTCTGCACCTCCAGCAACACCGAGACTGTGCACATTTTCAAACTCCAGATGGAGCATGATAAGGCTCCCGAGGCCCCCACCACCTGGACCGGGTACTTGGGGAGCATGCTCCTGGCTTCCGCCAGCTATTTGCCCTCGCTGGTAGCAGACGTGCTCAGCCAGGCCAGAGCCTTTGCCACAGTCTACTTGCCGGTCTGTGGCCGCAGAAACATCTGCTCACTGGTCACAATTCAAGATATTCCGCGGGTCCTGGTGGGTACTTCCGACGGCTGCTTGTACATATACAACCTGGACCCCTGGCAAGGAGGGGAGTGTACCCTGGCGCAACAGCACCGATTTGATGGAGAGGACTCATAAGCTCGTGGCCTCTCACCAATGCCCTGTAGCCCGGGGACCTACAGCTCAGCCTGAGGCCAATGACAATGGGTGCGCGGGGAGGCACCCCGCACCCTCCGGGAGTCTTTGGACTGACTGACTGGGAACTCTGCCTCCTGAAGATGAGAAAGAAGGAGCATTGACAGGACTTTGTGCTACACGCTCTGTGCCTGAGTTGTAGGAGGGGAAGGCAGAGGGAAAAGGTAAAAAAGATTGTAGCTGTAGTCTATCCCATGCTGTGCAGAAACATTGTTTTCACTATAAGGTCTTAATCGTGCTTACAAGTTTTAGTGTTTTGGGTTTTTTTGTTTGTTTGTTTTTTGCCAAAATTAACTAAAATAAAAAGTAACAAAATGTTTAAAATGAAGAAAAATAAATAAAATTACTTAAAATGCTTCAAACCTTCTTGCTTTGCACCCATTAATGTGCCAGGTCAGCATAGCAGTGGTCAAGGCTCTTTAAACTGCGGGTTTGCTTTGTAAAAACTTACATACGGTGAGGAGGGTACACAGGAAGGTAGCTTGGGCAGAGCAGAGTGGTTTTTTTTTTTTTTTTTTTTTAAACTTAATCTATTCGAGTATGCTTTGTAGCTACTGATTCTTTGGATTTTATTTATTTTTTTAAAACGTTTTATTTATTCATACAAGCACTGGGTACAGTCAGAAGTACGGGAGGGTGAGAGAATTCACCAGAGCCAGAGCGGGGAGCAGAGCAGGCAGAAGGAACGAAGTACACTGCTGAGGGGAGCAGCGGGCGGCAGGAGAGGTTTGCGTGCTATGTGGGACCCTCGCAGGCAGTGGGGGATTGAACCGGCGCTGCAGAGGCTGCGGGCAGCTTCGCAACCCAGCGCCCAACCGCTGCGCCACCGGGGAGGCCCAGAGCAGAGTGGTCTTGGTGGTGAAGCTGGTGGTGTCCCCTGCAGGTCGGAGAGTAACCCCATCCCCCAACCCTCCCCGGGGCTTTCCCAGACTGGGCCGGTCCTTGGCTTTGGAGGAGACCTCTATGCCTAGGGCCTCTCTGGGACCATTTCTCCCCATTTTGTTAATGAAATCCTTTCCAAATTGGGTTATTCTGGGGCTTCTTCCATGTTGGGCTTCTGTTTCGAATCTTGGTTTCCGTGTGGGTATAGAAGAGGGAGGTTCTTTCTGATTATAAAATTTTACTTTTTTTTAAGATTTATTTTTTATTTATACAATAGCTGGGGTACAGGCTAGAGGCACGGGAGGGTGAGAGGATTCACCAGAGACAGAGTGGGGAGCAGAACAGGCAGACTGACTGAAATACACTGCTGAGGGGAGCAGCGGGAGAGACAGGAGAGGTCTGCCATGCCAGGTGGGTTGCTCCCTGGCCGGCAGGGGAATTGAAACCGCACTGCAGACCAGCACTGTACAGGCTGCAGATAGCTTCACAGTGCTGCAATCAACCGGCTGTGCCACCCGGGAGGCCCCCAATTAGATACATTAATGTAATGAAAGACAAGCATTTGGATGCATAGACAAGCATGTTTGTTTTTTTTTTGCCTATTTTTTATTTTTATTTTTTAATTTTTATATATTTTTACATCATTTTTCTTTTTTTTAAAAGTTGAGTTAGGATCTTTTTTTTTTTAAGATTTATTTATTTAGCAAGCACTGGGTACAGTCAGAAGCGCGGGAGGGCGAGAGAATTCACCAGAGCCGGAGCGGGGAGCAGAGCAGGCAGAAGGACCGAAGTACACTGCTGAGGGGAGCAGCGGGCGGCAGGAGAGGTCTGCGCGCCACGTGGGACCCTCGCCCCGCGGCCGGGGATCAAACCTGTGCTGCAGAGGCCGCGGGCAGCTTCGCAACCCAGTGTTCAACCGCTGCCGCCACCGGGGAGGCCCTTTAAGGTTTTTTCTTTAAAAAAATCCATCCAAGTTTTTGCAAAGTTTGCCTTTTATTGGTGAGTAGAAATCCCAGCTGTCCCTCAGCAGTACATTTCAGTCAGTCTGCCTGTTCTGTTCCCCACGCTGTCTCTGGTGAATCCTCTTACCCCCTGCATCTCTGTCCTGTACCTCAGCTCTTGTGTGCATAAATAAATCTTTAAAAAAATTAAAAAAAAAAATAAAATATACAACCCACAAAGCTTAAAATATTTACTATCTGTGGTGGTGGGCACAGTGTGAGAACATATTTGTAGAACTGTGAACCTATATCCCTGAAATATAAACTGTCATAAATCATGACTTCAATAAACATAATTTTAAAAAAAATTAAAAATTTATCATCTGGCCCTTTATGGAAAAAGTTTACCCACCCTTGCATTACAGCAACAAATATTATACATACTTCCCTTTTACTTCCAACACTTGTAAGACATTTAGACAGCTATTTAATAGAAACCAGTGATTTCAATATCTTTGAGGACTTACACCAAAGCTGTCTCTAAATTTCAAAAAACCCAAAATAGGCCCAGATTTCTTAGTTTCTCTTCTTGCTGAATGTCTATGTGTTCTTTCCCTCAGAAATTAAAGCTTGCAAGTGATTGTTACATCTGGGAAACATAAAAATCTGAGACTACCAACAGAAAGTATGCATTGAGATCATTTGTAATGGGACACAAGGAATAGTCTCCCCATGGGGTGGACAACATTATTAGAAGGGGAAGATGTGTTTCTTTTTGTGATGACTTTGTTTCAAGTGCTTTCTCCTCTATGCCTACATTGTTAAAACTAAATATTTCACATGCATTTAAAAGCTTAGTGTCATTAGAGAAGGAAGTTTTGGGCTGAGAGTAGAAATAGTCAAGAAACATTGTTTCTTGGTTTTCTTGAGGAGAATTTTTTTTTAAGATTTGTTTATGCACACAAGAGCTAGGGTACAGGCCAGAAGCATGGGGGGGGGGGGTGAAAGGATTCACCAGAGACATAGCAGGGAACAGAAAAGGCAGACCTACCAAAGTATACTGCTGAGGGGAGCAGCGGCGAAGTCAGGAGAGGTCTGCTGCGCCATGTGGGTAGCTCCCTGGCCAGTGGGGAATCGAACTCTCGCACTCATGCTGCAGAGGCTGCGGACAGCTCCACGGGTTGCATCTCAACCCCTTGCGCCACCAAGGAGGCTCTTGAAGAGAATTCATTCTTAAAGTTATTAAAACAATCTTGTCCAATAACTTCACCATCAACCCCATTAAAGTATGCTAAAATGCAAAGAAACCTTCATCTGGAAATGTTTATCTTCATTGGAAGTTATATAAATGCAGCTTAAAGCAGTGATGAAATACTGTTTTTTTCTCCATTAAATTACAAAGAAAAAAGATTATACTTTCTGATATTGGTCGTTGTATATTAGTGGCATAATGAGTGTTGATGTTCTTTTCAGAGATACCCTTTATTTTTTTTATTTTTATTTTTTTTTCTGCTCCCCGCTCTGGCTGTGGTGAATTCTCTCACCCTTCTGCACTTCTGACTGTACCCAGTGCATATATAAACAAAACAAACAAACAAACAAATGAAAAAATGGATACCCTTTATTTTTTAACACTGAAAAGATGTCCAAAAAATATACAATGCCATCTAAAAGATTTCACTTGAATATCACAGATTTTGGTGGCATTATAAGAAGGAGCAAATACTGAACAGTAGAGGTCAATTCACATTTTAAATTAAATCCCATCTTGGACAAATGTTTGTTATCTGAAACAAATCTAAAGAGCCAGTCTCCTGCTTAAAATTCTTTGAAGATTTCTAATAATCTGCTGAGTTAAATCCATTCTCTTTAGAGCCTATAAGCCTGTCATCTTCACCTGAATCTTCCTGTCTTCCTTCCTGACATTCTAACTGCCAATAAATCCTCAGCCACTTAAATTCATGCCCCCAGCAATTGGCCTTCAATCTCTCCAGCATCTGTGACTTTTCTCTTTCCTCAGTACTTTGCAGGTTCTGTGTTTTCTCTCTTCTTAAAAAAGAATCGAGGAACTCTCACCCTCCACCTGCCATCCTATTTCTTTTTTTCTTTACAACAAATGTGTTGAAAGTGTGGCCTATATATATATATCTTAAAGATTTATTTGTTTTATGCATACAAGAGCTGAGGTACAGGCCAGAGATGCAGGGTGTTGGGGTGGGGTGAGAGGATTCACCAGAGACAGAGCGGGGAACAGAACAGGAAGATTGACCGAAGTCCACTGCTAAGGGGAGCAGCGGGTGAGACAGGAGAGGTCTGGGCGCCATGTGGGTTGCTCCCTGGCCGGTCTGGGATTGAACTTGTGCTGCAGAGGCTGTGGATTGCTTCACAGTGTGATGCTTAACCCCTTGTGCCACCAGGAAAGCCCTTGTCTATATATTTTTTAAAAAATTGCCTCCAACTTCTCTTGAATCCATTTTTTTTCCTTTTTTTTTTTTTTTTGGTGGGGGGTGACTTTTCTATTGTGATAAAATTTAAATATAAAAGAGAAAATTGTGAAATGATATCCCCTTTCACCTCATGCAACTGCACCAGATTATTCTGAGCCAATGAAGGGTAAGTGAACACATTCTAAAGAGCCTTCCAGAATCATCATCCCACTAAATTGCTCTTGTCAAGTCAACAATGACCTTCATCTAATTTACTTCACAGAGTAAAACACATACATGTGTTGCCTGCAAAGAAATAGTTTGGGCAGAAAAAAATATATATTTTTAAAAATGGAGGACAGAAAAATAATCAGCCTAAATCCAATTATTTATGGGAAAGGATCTTAACACCCACTAAATATCTGAACCTCTACCCAATGTTTTTAAGCTGTAGAGAAAAGTCTAGTAATTGAAATATTGCCCAGGGTTTATGGAGATAGTCTTTTTTTTTCATCTGTTTTCTTGAAATGCAGAATGTCAAATTAGGCATAGGCATTGATTAGTGTACTTTGAGTTAAAAATTAAAAAAAGAACTAGTCAACAATAAATCTATTTCACTTTTACTACTGCAATTTCTAGTGTCTGAGTAACATTTTAAAAATGAGCAGTCTACTTTCTATAAAGTGTTATTGTAAGAGAGTTATGAATTGGAGTGTGGTTTTTATGTCATCTAGACTGCTTTGATTTTGAATAAATTCCTTTAATTCAGGATATAATGTAAGCTTCAATTCCTTAGGATGGATGGATTCTGGGTTCATTCTGGGGTTGAGGTAAGATGCTTAGTGAAGTCTTTGCATGTTCTATTTAATACAAGCTGAGTAGTTGGTCTGACATTCTATAAAATGCTTTTGGTGGGGAGTGTGGTATTTCCTAAATTAGATATTTTTAGGATCCAATAAACCATACTATTCTGCCAGTCAATATACAATCTTCATGGTTTGATGGGGAAATGAGTGATTGTGTGAGTGGTGGGTGATGGTGGACCTATTCC